CGGTCTGACAATTTACTGTAGACGCACTTTTCTCATCATTCAATGTCATCCGGATGTGATCACACTGTCTTGAACGGTATTCCCATTATTTTGCTTCGCTTTCTTTTTGTTCCCAGGTCCCAGGTTCGTTACGAAATCGATGCGCAACTGCCTCGTTAGACCTACTAAGTCCCTCGGAGGTGACCTAAAGGCATCAGTCCACTGGTTGATCACGTACAGTCTACTGGTTGATCACGTACAAGCTCGTCAAGTATACACATAAAAGTAATAATCATCATGATAATACCTTAATATATAATAATGTATTTATATAGCACATTTTCCAGTTACATGTTCAAATGCGCTTTACGATGATATTGTTAACAGAAGAGGTGAGTTTTTAGATATTTTTGTGAAGGAATTGAGAGATGTTTTCTTAGCAATCAGGTAAACCATCAAAACACCCAAGGTCAAAATGGTCAAGGGCAAGGTCAGTAGGGAAGGGGGTTGAGGTTGGTCAATTATGAATTACATGGTCTGATTGTTCTATGTCTACGTCTAAATATCCTTTTCAGTTTCGCCTTTTCGTGCGCAAGAACCGAGGATCCTGAAGCACTTATCAATAATTACACCATTATTAGGCATACACGTCAATCATATGCCTGGATACACTTTGCTACAGCCTTGCGAGTCGAGTGAATGAAGCTTGCACGCATGAGAAGAACTGATCAGTGGGTGTTTTATCATGGACCTACTTAGTATAGGTCCATGGTTTTATCCGCAAGTTCTGGTCAAGAAGCAATCACTAGGGACTTTTAGATTTGCACAACGACAACGTGGATTGCTACGATCGACGTCCTTTTAATACACTGCCTTGCATGGACGTCACACGTTTAAGTCCACGCAAATCTAAAAGTCCCTAATACCGATGTACGCCTACCACTGCGAACATACCAATGCCCGAATTCCAAATCCATGGCATCAATCGCCACACATGATTCTTCGTCATTTAAATTTAGCAAAGAGTTTATAGGGGAAAAGGTTTGGGAGAATATTTACCTTTATCCAATTTCAGCGGCCTTGATCATCGCCTATCGAAATGTGAAAAGTTACAAATAGGTTACCATGTAATCCGTACATGAGTTTGATAGTGTATTGAAAGCCTTTGCGATGGTGTTTAAACTAACTGCGTCAAATACATAGAAGTCTTCAACAACTTTCACCAACAGCCTGAAACAGTGGAAAAACACTGAAATAATGATTCCTGTCAAAAAAAGCTAACCTCAGCCCAAGGCTAAAATCTAGAAGCCTATTGCTATAAAACATCATTGAACATGTTAACGTTCTTAAAACGCAAGAGAATAATCGAGTTTATAATTTCTCTAATGACTTCATATCCATTACACGTATTTTTTCCTACGCCTCATTGGCATGCATTGGGAGTGGATAAATTACTTTTGTGCGCCCTTATATTCAATGCTAGGTTTACATTATGTTCTCGGCGCCAACGGCAATTCCTGTAAATAAAAGGGGGAAATGTCATCTAAATGAACCTCGTTCATTAAACATTTTAAATGCATCTATGCATGCTGTCGTCAGGCTTAGGTTTTATCCTTCCCAAATTTCACGCAAGATCGGGTGAACCGTCAGAACATGAAATGGCGCCTTTTAACATTTGGGATGGGTAAAAGCATTTTATATTGCTCAGGGGACGTTAGTAAAGTCAGAATAGAATTAACCTATGCCTCAATAATTTCCGTCAACAAGTTTTTTAAGAGAAAGTTGATTCTTGGAAATATGGACCAATAATTCGTGATATTTCTCGTTCTTTTTCATGCGCGGAAAAATATAATTGTAGAAATAACCCCAAGAAAGAAGTGCTCTTCAAATGAACAATAGCTTAAATATAACAAGAAACGGTTACAAGTTCGGACCAGACAGTCGCGCAGGACTCATACCACATTATTGTGTGTAGTCCCATCTACCAATTCCAGTGTAAAGTACGCATACATGTTAGAACGACTGATTTATTTTTTTATCAATGTGATGATTCCAAAACCCCCACCAGAACTCAATTTTTGTCCTAATTGTTTGTTGCCAGTTCTATGCACTTTGAAAACCTTTTTCTTCAGCTTGATATCTTGCTTGCTGGACAATTTGTATAGTTGTTCGCAAACTTGGGCTTAGTATGAACTTTGTCTACAAATATACCCCTCCAAAATAACAAACTTTCGTCATAAACTTGATGAAAAGTGAGTTCTATTCATGATTCTGTGTTTGATAATATGCTCTTTATAGTTTAATGTTTTAAGTTCAATATGGAAAGGCATCATTTAACAATGTTAAATCTGAGATGCACGGCCCAACGTGTTATCAGTGTCTGTGATATGATGTAATATTGAAGCCCAAACAAAATTGCGCCTCAAAATGATCATCAAGTGCCTCAAAAAAGTAACAATCTTTGAGTGACCGGTATTACCATACTCATTTCCTCAACAGACTGTAATGTGACAAAAAAACACGTTAGGAAAAGGAAAAATGAAATTTCGATTTCCAATCGTAATTATCTTGATAATCAGACTGGCGATCGGCTTGTAAAAGTCATGGGATTCCTGATTGACCTAAAGGTTAAATTATGATTGCAGTATGAGCTAAATCCAGGATTTTTGTTACCGAGTTTGTTGTATAGATATATTGTACCTTCTTTTGTTTTCGTATTTGTATGTGAGGCGCCATGAGAGTCATGCCTGGCGGAGCTGTTGCACTTTATAAGAAGCCAACATTATTATCATTATTCTTATAACCCGACAATAATTTTTCACTGTGGTTTATTTTCTCTTTAAGGATGATTAAGTGGCTCAATGAGGCTTAGGACGAAGGCATGCAACGCCAGTTAGGATTAAATAATGTCAAAACGTTCCTGCATGGTATTGGTAAAGCTTTTATTATTAGCATACATGTGCATTGTCCGTAAAGGCAACAGGATAAAATGCTCCCAATAGAGTGGAGGGTGTGCATTGTATAGTGCATAATAGTCACTGAATTCAAAGGTAAGGGTAATAATGAAATACGCTTTGGTCTGTGTCTGATAACGCGCTCTCTAAGAAACAATGTTTTATAAAATGATTGAATCCTGACTAACATTAAGACCTTCAACCTAGATTTTGCGTCACTTTATACCTTCTGATATTGCACATGCAAGTAATGTAGAGCCAAGTGCCGATATACAAAAAACCTTACTAAGCCCTATTGTCAACTACAATAGCCTATGTATTGAGTTGACAACTAGCTTGGTAAGATTTTATGAATATGGGTTCTGGCCCCTAAAACATTTTGTTTAGAGGTTGCTGAAATTATACTGTCCTGGAAGAATACATAATCTTTTGTTCTTCTTCAGTTGTTCCAGAATCCAGTTGAGTTTGCGGCTGATGTATTCAGCTTGAATACGACGAGTGGTTGATACCTCAGACAGACCGCCAAACCGACCCCACATCGACCCCAAACCGCCGAATCTTCGATCATTCGGGGGGGGGGGGGGGGGTAATGTCATTGTTTGTTCGGTCTGCAGTAGGACTGTTCTTGGTTTCGTTTGTGTGATTGAGGTTTGTATAAAACACCTCAGTCACACCGAAAGACCGACTCCACAGTCCACACGGTCTGCTATCGGACTGTTCTTGGTTTCGTTTGTGTGATTGAGGTTTGTATAAAACCCCTCAGTCACACCGAAAGACCGACTCCACAGTCCACACGGTCTGCAGTCGGTCTGTTCTTGGTTTCGTTTGTGTGATTGAGGTATGTATAAAACACCTCAGTCACACCGTAAGACGGACTCCACAGTCCACACGGTCTGCTATCGGACTGTTCTTGGTTTCGTTTGTGTGATTGAAGTTTGTATAAAACACCTCAGTCACACCGAAAGACCGACTCCACAGTCCGCACGGTCTGCTATCGGACTGTTCCTGGTTTCGTTTGTGTGATTGAGGTATGTATTAAACACCTCAGTCACACCGTAAGACCGACTCCACAGTCCACACGGTCTGCTATCGGACTGTTGTTGGTTTCGTTTGTGTGATTGAGGTATGTATTAAACACCTCAGTCACACCGAAAGACCGACTCCACAGTCCACACGGTCTTCAGTCGGACTGTTCTCGGTTTCGTTTGTGTGATTGAGGAATGTATAAAACACCTCAGTCACACCGCGAGACCGACTCCACACCGAATCCAACCCAGCAATTCCGAGCCATGATTTATATGTATCTTATAACAGTGAAGGTTGACAAATACCGTTAATAACGTTTTGCGAGTCCACATGTCTGCAACGACGAACATTCTCCCGTTTAATTCAGGGTTATTCTTTAAAACATGTCAGTATTGAGAGTGCAACAAGGATACACGTACAGACAAAAAGGTTTAGAGTAAGACGATTACCTTGTACTCAACAACCAATCTATTCATAAGCAATAATAAATGACATACAGGTGCCGGCAGGTTGACAGCCCTTTCATTTATCAGTATTTTTACTACAAAATGACGTAACTGATATCCCTCCGATGAAATGCGCGTTTTCTTTTTAAAAAAGATAAATTCATATGTTATCATGACATATTAACATGATTAAAAAGAGTTGAAGAGTGATATTCACACCATTAACCACTTAGTCGACGCTTGACCATCCGCCCTTTCTAAGTATATTTGATAGTTTTTATTTAAGATGTAAGTATTGAGCTGATCAACTTTGCAATTGTACTAGCATGACGTATTAATAAAATAAAGAATATCCGTTTGCAAAGAGCAAGAAAGGCGTTAATACACATGACTCTAGCGCCTTTGTGGCTCTCTTTTTAAAGTATATACTAAAACAAAAAGATATGCACAATATTGCTCTCTTTATCATGACGGGAAATTGATATAACTATGACTATATATATATATAATATGGTATGGTTGAGCCGTTGATATATAGTACTACTAGTACAAATGTGAGATTTGAGAGAGATAAAACTGGAAAGAGTTGACTTACCTCCTGATGAGTGAACTGTCCCGAGTTGGCATACGACCACGAAGAGGATTACAACAACGGCTATCGACGATGTTGCCATTTTCTGTTTCTTCGACTTCAAATATATTTGTCCAAAATAAAACTTCAAGGTGGCTTAGAATCCAAACCGACAGCTCTGATCTTTCTATGTCTTTATAAATCACAGCAATGGCTAAAGAAATAGATGTCCAAATTTAAGGTGAGGCTAAAAATGTTACAACTCTTTCGGGTAGCTGGATGAAAGCAGGAGAAATCAGACTTTGTTCTAAGTCAAGCAAATTCGAAAGCAGACACTTCGGTATGTCGTTGAAAAGATGCGACTTCATGCAAAAGAAACTCGTAGAATTATGAAGAGAATTCACGATTTCTTGTATAACAAACATGCATTGAATTGATCGACGACCTTACGAGTTCCACGAGTGACGATAGCGTACACACTTCTGAAAAACGACTCCTTGGATGAGAGTACATGCAGTGTGAATTTAGACGCACACCTTGTACAGGCAAACTTAATCTTGCTAAACTCACAGCGTCACGTTTACATTAAAAAAAGAATAAGAACATTTTACTAAAATTGCCATAAAATATATAAACTTTCTTCACTCAGCTCTTTGATTAAATTAAAATGGTAACTTCTAGCTCTCGCAGGCAGGAGATTCCAAGCAGTGCAGTGTGGCGTGATCTCTGCCCGTTGTGCGCTCGACTTGCTGTACAGGTATACATGTACCACCTAACCACCGGTAAGAATGCGAGCAACTCCGAGTGGTTCGCCCACGAGCTCCTTTGTCAAAGTTTTCACTATTTAGAACATACAGAAAGAGATAAAATAATCTATTCTTCTTTATCCACTCATCCTTATCAACTTGAAGCATGAGATAATACACATTGATATAACTTCGAAGTGGAGTTACAGTTTCAGTTGCAAGTTTCCGTTCATTCACTGCGGCGACTGATGTTATAAATGATCGGAATTGGGACCCGCTTGTCTTTATATATAGCAGGTCTCTAAAGTTTCGTAGTCTATTTGAGTAAAATCGCTCAGCCACTGATTCGCTTGCCTTGCATTACATGTATGGCCGTAATACCCGCCCCCCCCCCCCCCCCCAACTCAGTGTTATTTAGGGTACGCATATGCTCGTACCCTCTTTTTGAAAGCACCCCCTATCTGAGGACTGCCAACATTTCCCAACCCCCCTTTCGCGGGCTTTTCGCGGGCTTTTCCTGCCTTGGAGACCCCCCTAAATCAGGAAAAATGCTCAATGTACCCCCCTAAATTTCTCAGGAGTCTAAAGATATGAGAGAAAAAAAGAAAAACACCCCCTTTTTAAAGAAATCTCCGGGTGAAAAGTCAAATCAAATACACCCTTTTTTTTTTACAATTCTCGGGCCGGACTTTGTCGCACGAAAAGTACCCCTTTACCGGACATTTTGGCAACACGCATGCGGTCATTCCGACCTCTGAGTGGGGGGGGGGGGGGGGGGGGGGGGTCGGGCCGTAATATAACATGATATAAACTGTAGTATGTTGTCTGGATTCAGTTTCGAAGCATTTTCCTTTTTCTCTCGCTCCCTCTCATTTTTAGGTTTAAGTATGGTCACATTCACTACCTTTGCACTATTCGTATATGAGTATAGGGGGAACCCCGGTGTAGTGGTCTACCTGCACTCCCCAGTACAGTACGATAACACTCTGTAAAGAGGTATGTACTCAAAATGGAAGAAGAAGAATTCATAATGCTGTTTAAAGTCGAAGGGTTCCAACAATTGACAATATGAGATTCGGAATGAGATTGAAAAGAAAAACCTTACACAACTCTGGAGAATGTTTCTAATCAATCGCATGCATGTTTAACGAGGTGTCTTTTCATCATCAGTGATTTATATCGCATAACGCTGCATTCATAGCACAACTCAGGCATGAAATTGTTGCACGCTCACAATACATAGCGAAAATTAAACTGAGTCTCAAGGTAGGCCAAAAAATTAAAAGGTTAAATTCCAACGGCATTTGAAAGATGAAACTAATTTAGAACTTTCCTAAACATTGGGGGCTTGAAAATGTCTGTATATGCTTGCCTTATCAGTGAAATCTAGGATGGGTCAATATCACATGAAAAACACGATGCAATGATAATATCATACTCTGTTTTCATACCGATACTGATATATCTACATGCGCTATTGATCAGTCGCTATTATTGTTCCCGACTCTTGCCTGCAAAATAAACAGACAATTGTGATCATGTGAACATGTTGTCTACTTTACCAAGGGTATAGTCACATCATTATTAATACTGCTCTTTCTGCGGGCCTTGCAATTGTTATTACTCCATCGTTACCAAGTAGGCTACACCTGGGTCGAGAAGGAATAGGGACTTTTAGATTCGCACGAAGACAATGGGATTTGCTACGATCGACGTCCTTTTAATGCACTGCCTTGAATGGACGTCACACGTATCAGCCCACGCAAATCTAAAAGTCCCTAATATGTGGCCAAAACACCTTGCCCAAGGATGTAACCAGTAGCACTGATACAGAACCAACGTTTTGTATGAGAGTCAAGAGTCCTCACCAATATACCACAGTGCTCTATAATGTTATCTGGATATTCAGAAGCTGGTAAATATGTCAATGATCTTACCCTTCTAGTATCTAAATTCTCTTCAACGTTCATAATGAAGGGAATTTTGTTCTAAAATATTCCTAACTTGTGTTCGGAGGATTTAGCAAAGAGGGAAAGAGTTCTTAGTAAATATTTTCAGGATTGACGACCATGTTTATTAAGATTTTCTCGTCCATTTTAACACTTTTCCAATCAATTTGATACCTTTTCATTCACTTTCGTCCCGGACATTCCTAATCTTGCACATTTAATAGTCAATTTCGTCCTTGGTCATTCATTTTTGTAACTTTGTCGAATCGTTTTCATCATTTCGCATCCGATTTTGTCAAAGTCAAATCAAGTTCGGCGTCCTCGGCTGCCGTGATCACATCTATGTCTATTCATTCTATTTCCAATGTTTTCTAAAAGTGTTCAATACATCGTCATTTTTGTCGACCAAGTTTTATCTAGCTTAATGTCCTAAAAGAAGTCTTAACAATGCTGAATTTAAGCAACAATTATTCGTCATTACTACTCTTTAATACATCCATGACATGGATTGGCAATTTAATATTTCGGGACTCGAGATGCATTCGTTTTACAGTTGATTCCACTTGGTTGATTCTACTCTTCGCATAAACTAACAGAGAGAGATAGCATTGAACATTCGCATGATAACGACGATGTATTATCATTTGTGTTTGTTCATCGTCTCTACAATACGATAATACTCTGTATGGAAGAAGAAGAATTCATAATGCTGTTTAAAGTCGAAGGGTTCCAACAATTGACAACATGAGATTCGGAATGAGATTGAAAAGAAAAACCTTACACAACTCTGGAGAATGTTTCTAATCCATCACAGGCATTTTTAACGAGGTGTCTTTTCATCATCAGTGATTTATATCGCATTACGCTGCATTCATAGCACAATTCAAGCATGAAATTGATCCACGCTCACAATACATAGCGAAAATTAAACTGAGTCTTAAAGTAGGTCAAAAAATTAAAAGGTTAAATTCCAACGGCATTTGAAAGATGAAACTAATTAAGAACTTTCCTAAACATTGGGGGCTTGAAAATGTCTTTAAGTCGACTATTAGATGTTGAATCGACTTAACAGCTATAGAGCCAGTAAGTAATAGTCTGATTTACAGACCATTGTGCCGAATGGCCGTACGTTTTATGCTGCACAAAAATTGAATCACTTTAATTTTAGCCATTACAAGAAGTGGGTTATTGATGTAGACAAATACTTTGTACTCTTTACAGCTCATCTTATGTATATTATTACCAAACAAGAACAAAAAAGCCAGTCAGTCACTCAATAGAGTCTGACAGTGTAGTCTTACAAGTAAACGGGTTTCCTTGCATAATTTGAATATAATATATTAGGACACTGCTAACATTTACAGTTCACAGATAGGACATACATGACATAATTCATAATTCCTGCAAAGTTCTACAGAATTTGATGTTGGCTGCAAAAGGGTCATTGTATCTTTAAAGGGCTTGTAACGATTACTCACGTAATCACGTTTTGAGTACTTCCGTATATACCGCTATCTGATGTACGAAGTGTTGGTTAACGTCGTAATCTAATATCGGGAGTGTCGTGGTCGAGTGGTTTAAGGAGCTTGACTGGAAATGCGAAGGTCATGGGTTCGAATTCCGACACGGCATTAATATCCTTTGGCAAGATATTAACCTGCACTTGCTACTCTCCACCCATGCGTTAAATGGGTACCCGGTACCCGTCAAGTAACGCATGGCTGGAATGCTCCCCAGGGAGTGGAGATTGTGCAAACAGTGTGTGCGGGCAAGCACTGAATCCAATGACCGGGGTAATATGTGTAAAGCGCTTAGAGACATTCGTATTAAGCGCTATATAAAAACGAATTATTATTTTAATACCATTGTACAACACGAGCAATATTGGTACTTGACTTGACGCAGATGCTGACAAAATAAATGTAAATAGTCACTGAGAAGACAATTACACACAAGAATCACGCATCATTCTCCGGCCATAAATGTCCTTGATTATAATGTGGTATAATATTTAGGAAAAAAAAATCTTAACAACGGTTGTTGCTGAATTTGAGCAACAATCGTTTGCCATTGCTGCTCTTTGATACAACTATGATATGGGGTGGCTATTCACTCTTTCAGGACTCATAATTAGGGATCACTTTGTTATAGTGTTGGCTTCCCTCCGAATTGAAGTGGAATCTACACAAAGTGGTGGTTTCAAATACTCTTTCGAGAGTGAATTCCAATATTTCTAATTTATATCAAGGGATCCTTTATATAGAAAGAAGATTAGACAGGAATTATGATTCGTTGATTTTCAGTAACGTTAGAATTGTCTTTGGTTGCCACAACGTGAAATTAATCGGGGAGAATAAAACGTTTGCATGTAGAAACGTTGTCCGATATCTTTGTAAATTCTTCACGACAAGAGACTAGATTGATATTTTCTTACACTGTATATACTTGCCTTATCAGTGAAATCTAGGATGGGTCAATATCACATGAAAAACACGATGCAATGATAATATCATACTCTGTTTTCATACCGAGTGATATATCTACATGCGCTATTGATCAGTCGCTATTATTGTTCCCGACTCTTGCCTGCAAAATAAACAGACAATTGTGATCATGTGAACATGTTGTCTACTTTACCAAGGGTATAGTCACATCATTATTAATACTGCTCTTTCTGCGGGCCTTGCAATTGTTATTATACTCCATCGTTACCAAGTAGGCTACACCTGGGTCGAGAAGGAATAGGGACTTTTAGATTCGCACGAAGACAATGGGATTTGCTACGATCGACGTCCTTTTAATGCACTGCCTTGACTGGACGTCACACGTATCAGTCCACGCAAATCTAAAAGTCCCTAATATGTGGCCAAAACACCTTGCCCAAGGATGTAACCAGTAGCACTGATACAGAACGAACCTTTTGTATGAGAGTCAAGAGTCCTCACCAATATACCACAGTGCTCTATAATGTTATCTGGATATTCAGAAGCTGGTAAATATGTCAATGCTCTTACCCTTCTAGTATCTAAATTCTCTTCAACGTTCATAATGAAGGGAAATTCGTTCTAAAATATTCCTAACTTGTGTTCGGAGGATTTAGCAAAGAGGGAAAGAGTTCTTAGTTAATATTTTCAGGATTAACAACCATGTATATTAAGATTCCTCGTCCATTTTAACACCTTTTCAATCAATGTCATACATTTTTGTTCACTTTCGTCCCGGACATTCCTAATTTTGCACATCTCATAGTCAATTACGTCCTTGTTCGTTCATTTTTGGAACTTTGTCGAATC